TCAGCACAACTTTAAAAATAATTTAGAAAAGGGTATTGAAAAAGACACGTTACAGATCTGCATCCTGTTACCTAAGATTACATCAACTCATAATTGTAAATATTTTTAAAGTTATGAGATTTGAAATCATTTTAAAAAATCATTTTCAGTGTATATGTAAATTCTGCATCTTATCATCTGGGTATGTTTCTTCAATATTATCTTGGAAAAAAGCCATTGAAAGAGTAATTTTGATTTTAAAAGTTTTGTTCAACTGTAAGTTGCATACAGATGAAATATGTTCTCAATGCATAAAAATCACAGTGCAAGGCAGAAAAGGACTTTGGGAAGGTAAGGAGAATGTGATACAAACTCACATTGTGATTATTTGGTATATGATGGAAGAGAATTGACAATTCTAAGGTCTGAAGACTTTCCTTCAGTGAAGACACTGAAGACACTTTGTTGTCACTCTGCCACCTCTAAGGTAACTAATTGCTCTTCACGTAAAACTGAGACAGTTATGGCAGCAGAAGATGGTCATAGCAATAAAAGTTTATAAAAACTACATTCGATCTTTTTTCTTTTTTGAAAGATTTTATTTATTTTTGGAGAGACGGGAAGGGAAGAAGAAAGAGAGGGAGAAAAACATCAGTGTGTGGTTGCCTCTCATGTGGCCCCCACCAGGGGCCTGGCCTGCAACCCAGACATGTGCCCTGATTGGGCATCGAACCAGCGGCCCTTTGGTTTGCAGGCCTGCACTCAATCCACTGAGCTATGTCAGCCAGGGCTGATCTCTTTTTCTTGAAGCCAGAGTGCAAGATGCAGGGTTCTCCTAGTCTTCCAAATGCTGCTTTGGATCCTTCATATTGTTTGGCAAAGGTCATGGTGGAAAGCGCACAGGTCCTACAAAGATGGCACCTGCTTGAATGCTGGTGATACTCTATTGGTAAATTGGAGATCCAGGCACTGAGACCTTACAGAGGTCTCAGAGCTCATAACACAAAGCTCCATTTTCAGAGTCCCTGGTTAGATGTTTAAGTTGATGAATGAATTTTCCATCCATATCTGGTTGTTCACAAAAGTGGAACCTACCATTTTCTTGAAAACATTTTATTTACTTAGAGGGGAAGGGAGGGAGGGACAGACAGAAACATCAGTGTATGGTTGCCTCTCACACACCCCCCACTGGGGACCAGCCCACAACCCAGGCATGTGCCCCAACTGGGAATTGAACCAGCAACCCTTTGGTTTGTAGGTTGGGAACTCAATCCACTGAGCCACACCAGCCAGGGATGGAAGCTAGCAGGTGAGTGCTGAATTCTAGTGTGAAGCGTTTTACCATGGGAGTAAGAGTTCGAGCTTAAACAGTAACAGTCATTAGAATTACCCTGAACAAGAAATGAACGATCTGGTACAGTTACTAGCTACTTCCCCACCTCCCAGCATGTAATGTGGTTGGTTCCAGTACTGTTCTTATTGTGCAAGTTTTTTTTTCCAGCTCCCCTGTAAAGCTTGTCACAACCTCATGACTGCTACTTTCCACTGAGTCAAACTCTTGCAACCCTGGAGGAGAGTCAGGATAAAAATATAAATGGTAGCACGTGCTTTCTGCTACATGGTCATCAGTGCTGCTTGTGAGCCCACTGAGGTTCCTTTGGATTTTTATACTTTCTGCATTGGAGGTGGCAAAGGAGAGTGTGGAGGAACATCATCATGACTCACCCTTGGGCTCTGGAATGTGACATGCGTGGTGGCAATGAACAAGCCACTGAGTGAGCCATGAAGATCTCTGGGGAAATGACAAGGTCCTGTCTACCAGATTATTGTTTTGGAGAAAGAGTCCTCTGCAACTTGAGAAGCAACAGCAGAAACTTCCATGGGAGCAGCTGTCCGGAAATAGCTGGATGATCCTTCCAAAGGCTCCATGGCCTCTTCTGCCTGCCCAGAATGCCAAACGCAGTCTTGAGGCGAAGTCTGAGAACTCCAGCACGTGTTCCTTGAGCGAAGATGCGAGTGTCCATTTTGAGATCCTGAAGTCCTGAATGAACTTGGTTCTTGGCACTCCACTTCAGGGGAAGGCGCCACGGTGTTTTCCAACATCATTCTGTGTTGGACTTGGTTTGGAAGCACTGAGCAAGGCTTTGGCTCTCACCTCCTCCATTTTGATAGTCGCCTCCTCAGAGTTTGTAGGTCAAGAGGCCAAGGGGTAGGGCAGCTAGTGATGATTGTGATGGTCTTATTGAGCTTTGAGCTTTCACATCTTGAAAACGTATTGGTGCCTAGAGAGGAAAGCTATTCCCATCTGGCAGAGCTCCCGGAGGGTGCTGCTCGGCTTGCCTTTCTGCTTTTGTTCTGCAGAAAGCAGCCTTTTAAATACACCCGTTAGGCTGTCACTCTTTGATCTTATTTTCCACCTTTTTCATATTCACTGTGGATGCCACAGCTGGCCATATCTTTACCATAGCAGCTACCAAATAAGGACTCGAGAGCTACCCAAATTCACTGGCTAGTGATGATTGTTGCACTACCATGAAATCTGTTTGTTCTTTACTTTCATTCAGGCGCAAAGATTTCTGGAAGGTTTGAGGACTAATTTTCCTCATTAAGCCTAGTTACCTAATCCGGGGGCACATGTCTCTGTGGAATATTAGCCCCAAACATCCGGAGAGACTGCGGTGGTACACGCACGTATTTTCCCAGTTTCATTTAACCTTCGCAGCCATGTTCCGCCGGCGCCGCTGCCGGCGGCGGCGCCGGGGGCAAAGGCAGCGGTGGCGGCGACAGCGGCCAGAGCTTGTCCACGCTCGCTTGCTCACTTGCCTAGCGAGGGCGCGACTGCCGCGCGACTCTGCCGAATGGGAGCTATTTAATGCCTGTAAAAGTGCTGTAATTTGTTACACAGTAACAGAAAATGAATACACCACTAGTGGTGTGATTACTGTAGCAAACTTTCGAACTGGGAGTGAAGAAGCGGCTGATTTGATATCAGATGATTCTGATTTTAGACTTGCTGCACGTAAAACGGAGGGGGATAAACAATCCGCGTCAAACGCGACACACAAAAGCGTCTCCTTCAATGCTCAGGTCAGGCCTTCTTCGTCACCCTCCTCCAGACTGACGTGACTCTTCCTTTAGCCCCCCGATATTTATAGGCACTAATGTATTTCACCACCTAAATGATATTCGTCTGTTTTATGCTCAAGTGGCTTTTTGTACCTAATTGGGCTTCAACTTCCTAGAGGGCAAAGATCTCCTCCTTGATTTTTCTGCCCCCCCACCCCTCCCCGCAGCGCCTTGCACATATACATGCAAATGTTACTTGATGAGCTAAAGTAACTCCTACTAACTAAATGACCCAGGTGCTCTTCCTGGATGGGACCTGGAGGTGGTTCTTCAGACTCCAACGAGGGCTCCTCGTTATTAAACCACTGTGAGCCCCAGCACCCAGCTTGCGCGGCAGCAATGCGAGTCATAACATCCTCCGACTCTTCTCTCAGGATAAGGACCGCAAGCATGGAGGACCCAAATAGCCTGCCTGACTGGGAACAGGACCTGGTATTTAACAACAAGATTTTTAACTTAATTAGCTAGCCCCGCTAATCAGTTATGGCCTAAACATCTGCCAGTGGAATCTGAGAAGTCTCTTTTAAAAGAAAAGCTGAGTTTATTCACCACACATGGGGCACTTAAGATAGGGGAGTGGGAAACGCATTACCAGTTAAAGAAAAGCAAGAGAAGAGGTTAGTACCCAATTTCCAGGAGAGTTACTGCATGTGATGGGGAAAACATCAACATTAGCATTTTTCTCTGTGCTCATATGCATGATTAACAGTTTATGAACTATCTCAAACTAATTAAAGCAGAACTTAAAGTGGTCATATGGCTAGGTAGTATAAAAACGTTTTGAATAGTCACTGACTTGTTTTCCTAGATCAAGGATTTTTTTGACATAAAAAGTCCTTTATAATAATTTCTTGATGATGTGGCAAGCTACCTTAAACCATTCTGGAAAAAGAGATGAGGTATAAATAAAATGTCTACACAGTGGACTTGAAATTGTAGGAGGATCGTAGCAACTGATTTGTTCAAGGAAGTGCAGGCAATTGCAATTGAATCTAGAGGCGTGGTTTAGGCAGACCGGCAAGTGAATTCATTTATCATTGTTGCACTGCCTTGAGCTAAGTGAAATCACCGATTGTGAGAATTTGCAAATCTATGAGATGAAAATGAAGTAACTCAGAAGAAAGTCATGGATTTTGACGAACATTAGTTACCATTAACATTTTTATGGCTGCCTTTGGAGTGCAAATTCTCAGCATGTCCATCAATTAGGAAGCGTTTGTCCTAATAATGTGAGAAGTTTCTGAATAGCAAAACGATTTTGAGGTTTCGGGCTGAAGAGTCACAATCTGAGACGTTTCGGTACATTTGGCTTTGTGAAAGGACCACTCTTTTTCATGAAAGTGCTTAAATCAATGGCTGAAGTCAGAATTAAGACGTGTTCAAATTGGAGCCTTCTCCTCCATCGTTTCAAACAGTTCAGTCTCTGAAAGATAACCATTTTAAATTTAGTTGCTCATAATTGACCCAATCAGCTTTGTTACCATCCATTTATTACCATCCATTTGTTTTTGTAGGAATACAGTTGATTAAAGTTTTGTAGACGCTTTTGGCATTTACGTTAACATCTACGTTATTGGTTAGGTAATAGAGTACACCACTTGGTCAAAAATGTGTTGGTCACGTGTTTCGATTTCTTTTCAACCTTCCGCCTCTTAAAAAGCAAATAAAAAAAAAAGAACTTGGACACTCCTACCCCAGACAGTGCCCTAACCCCAAAGCCGAGTTGACAGGAATACTCCATTGCTCCCTGGACACAATCCTGTTTGTCGCAATGGGCCCTGCGCGGAAGGTTACCCAGGAGCTCACAGTCATTTTGTAGGTAGCACTGCTTGCCGCGCTCCTTCCGCGCTGGTACTTGATTGTAAGAGAAAGTAGTTCCGGCCCGTGTTGTTTCGGCGGAGGAGCCGTCGCCGCCATTTCAAGACCGTGAGAGGTAGATGGGCAACCAGAATTCCTAAGGTTCGAACCCTATAAGTGCTGTCGCCGCTCAAGCCTGCCAGAATACTGGTACGGCTGCTGCCCTCTCACTGCTACCTCTAGAAACGTTCTTTCAAGTAGCGGCGGCACAGCGGGACTCAATCACTCTCTTCTCGCTCTCCCTTAAGAAGATCCAGATGGCGTCTTCCGTGGGCAACGTGGCCGACAGCACAGGTATCGGTGTCCCTTTTACCTTGGCAGATGCCCCCTTGGGGTCTCGCGCCGTCCTCTGCCTTGCATCACCCCCTACCTTCCCTCCAGCCATCCCCATGACATCAGTGGCATTGCTGAGCTTTCCGTCGTCTATAGGCATCTGATCGGGTTTTGCACAGTTGTCTGTTCTGCAAACATTTCCCCTTCTTTGCTTTTTGCTTCCTTTCTTGCTTTGTTTAAGTCTCACCAATGCACCAGCTTCCCACTGGCTCGGGACGCTTCTGTCACCTGCGCACGCTTAGAATGTCTCGGAATGGACTGCGTTGGAATCCCTGTCCTTTCACTTTCCTCCGCTACCGTTTTCTCCCCTAATTGAGCTCACCGCCCCCTCCTCTTCCCCTCTTTCATCCCCTTCTTCATCACCCTCTCCAGCCCTTTCTCCTTAGCCGGATTTGGTCCTCTGTCAATCCAGGGCGGGGGTGCCATTCCGATGTAATCATATCCTCACTTTGCATCACTAAAGGATGAGCTAAAGCGCCTCGGTGTGCTACAAGTCGCCTCGAGACGACGGGTTATCCAGCAGCACCCCGCCGGGCAGCGCTTTGCTAGTGTGTTCCTTCGGTTGAGCAGCCCCAATATAGATTGGAAATTTCCAGGGGTTCCTTTTGCCAGCGCCCAATTCCACCCAGCCTGGATTTCCCACCCGGCCCTCCCTCCCCTCCCGCGGGGAACCACACCCTTTCCTTTGCGAGGTCGCCAGTCCAGCGGTCCACTTCCTACCTTTTGGGAGAAACCACCCTGGTGCTGGTGCTGGTGCTGGTGCTGGTGCTGGTGCTGGTGCTGGTGCTGGTGCGTTGGCCACCCTGCGGGGCCGGGTTGTTGCTTTGTGCTACTTTCTCCTTGTATTCATCCGCCGCCGCCTCTGGGTCTTCCATCCCCATTCTTGAGCTCAGTATCTCTTTATTCATAGGACGTGTATTTTTTTTTTTAAGTTTTCATCCTTGCTTGAAGAGTTTGTAAAGCAACTGGAGTGTTGGCTGCACAAGTGCAAGGCGGTTGCCCTTTTAGACAATTCAGTCAAGAGCATTTGGTACTAAAAATAAGAAAACAACCAAATTATAGGAGTGTCCTTCAGCTGCCTTTCCCTATTGAGGCTATTTGGGGCGGGAGGGGGGGTAGTTTGGGCCACACTTCTAAGGTTTCCCATGAGATTCTTTTTTGTTGTTGATTCTCAGTTGAGATCTATCCCGGGTTTTATTTATTGTTTTTGGACATTGCGAGGTAATAGGTGACTCTCCAGTCGTATTTTGTCCATGATTGTAGGTAATAGGATTAATAGTTAGTGTTCCCCTCCCTCCCAGGGGTTTTCTGGGATTTAAGGTTTGTACTAGCTTGCCCTTTTTAATGTGTGTTATTCTTCTATTCGAGAGAGGGTTGTCATTTCAAGTGCTGAAACAGATAAATGGCTTTGAAAAGTTGATCAAGCAATGTGTTAAAATAAGGAGTTAAGAAGTTCTAGAGACTTGCCTAAAACATAATTTTTCTAATTTCTATTAGAGAGATAACCTCCTCCAGATTTAGATGCAAAGCCTTTCTGCCTGTGTACTAGTGGTCAGCTATGTATTCTGTTCAGGAAATTTTACTTTGCTTTCCTGAGTATACAGATCACTTGGCAGGTCTAATGCTTGGGGAGCTTGGCTCAAATATGACCTGGTCACTGTGACCTTGGTAGGATTTTAGGTAATTTGTGCATGGTCTGCCATTGCAACCACGTAGTGAAATTCCAGTAACGTATCTTTGTTTAAAGTATTACAGTTCACACTTAGGTGTGTTGTTCTGTTACCTGCTCTCCCCGCTTTATCTTTATGTATCTGAGTTAACTAACTTAGACACAGCAAAGTGCTTTCATTTATTATATTCATTCTCTTACACTGTGTCAAATGATTTTATATTTTAGTGTTTTCACGTTCTTTTAAGAAACCATTGCAGTTGTAGGTGACTGCTTGGGTTATATGGGTTGTTTGCAAGGTCTTAATGCTTTTGTCAGTTTCAGAGCTCTTTGGAAAATGCTGGTGTTAAACCAGCATGGGTGGGATTTACCTAATTTGCTTTCATTGTAAGTTTGAGATGGTAGAGAAGCAATATAATCTTGAGTATTTGAAATGTTTCATGACCCCTTTAAATATTTTGGCTCTTGACAGATGAATTCATGTTGTTTATCAGCTGCTTTAAAAATAGTGCCTTGTTTCCAGTGTTGCCTTTAATTTAAACAAATTAAACTGTGAGGTATATGAAAGCGCCAACATAATTTTCAGTTAAAAACACGCCTTGTGTTGTCACCCAGGTTAAGAGATAGATTGTTACGAGTATACCCCTCCCCCTCCCCAACCCCTCCCCCCAAAACCAACCTAAAACATGGGACAAAGTATTAAGCTTCCCAGTAGTTTATTCTGATGTTGTTAAATATCTGTGATCTTGCAAATCACGTTTTGTATTTTGTTGCTATATGTTAACTATAAGGAGTAATGTTTAATGAGTTTTTAGATGTTACCGTTCATTGATAATGTAAATACAAAGTATGCTCATAAAATGTAATCTTATTTGAAAGCAAGTATTTCTATCTAGTCTGGGAAAGAAAGTTAATGGATCAATTCTAAAAATGCCAATTCTGCACCTGATGTTAACTGGGGGTTATAAATTATGTGCAGAACACTCTAGTGCTTTACATAGTTTCAAGCGTTTTCATCTTTAAGTTTAATATGCCATGTTTTTACATTTTTTTTGTTTGCATTTCTAACTTTTTGTTTTCCCCCCTCCTTCCCTCAAATGTTTTGATGACTCTCCAGAACCAACGAAACGTATGCTTTCCTTCCAAGGGTTAGCTGAGTTGGCACATCGAGAGTATCAGGCAGGAGATTTTGAGGCAGCTGAAAGACACTGCATGCAGCTCTGGAGACAAGAGCCAGACAATACTGGTGTGCTTTTATTACTTTCGTCTATACACTTCCAGTGTCGAAGGCTGGACAGGTAGGAGATGTGGGGGTACCTTCTGGTGATTGCTGCCTCTGGATGCTGAGCTTGAAAATGATACTTAAATATTTGAACTTGAAATGTTTCCAATGGGTTTCACCCGAGCCACCAATGCACATCTGCTGTCTTGTCCACTTGTGACGTGCCCAGCTGCCAGTTTTTCTCCCTCCTTTTGTGGTGGTGGTGGTGGTGGTGGTGGTGGTGTTATCAGTATGACTGGGGACCATTAAGATTTTTCCACCTGAGTCTGCCGCTTACTTAACTCTGTTCAGGTAATAAATATTCCCAGTATAAACAACATGTGAGCATCCAGTCTCACCTTTGTAAGACATGTCATCTTGAGGGACAGAATACTTAGAAATAATGGTGTGTGTGCTGTGGTAGGAGGTGCATAAGTGATTCTAGTTGCAAAGACTGTCATTACATTATGCTTTGCTACTTTTAGCTAATCAGTTGAGTTAATCAAAAGGGGCAGAATCTGTGTTCTTGTCCTTTTAATAAATTGTCATTCTGGTTTATTGAGGCATTTTAAAGATGTGCGTCATTAAGTCTTACCAACAAATGGAAAGTGAGACTCATACCCATAGTGTTTTCCTTCTTGATCTTGAGATCATAGTTTACAGTGCGGCAGTTTAGTAATAAGACTAGTAAGAATTTTATCTCAGAAGGAAAAAAGAGCTTTCCATTTTGAAATGTACACTACCTCCACTTTTGAAAAACTTCATTTCTAAAATTTTTCCTGTGCACTAGTTAAAAGACAATTTTTTAATAAAGATTTTTATTAATTTATTTTCAGAGAGGGGAAGGGAGGGAGAAAGGAGAGAAACATCCATGAGTGGTTGCCTCTCGTGTGCCCCCTACTGGGGACCTGGCCCGCAACCCAGGCATGTGCCCTGACTGGGAATCGAACTGGCAACCCTTTGGTTCGCAGGCCGGCACTCAATCCACTCAGCCATACCAGCCAGGGCTAAAAGATGATGTTATTGTTACATAATTAGCAATAGCACAGGGTCGTGCGTACACCTGCATCAACACTTTTCGCCTTTTCCAGATCTGCTCACTTTAGCACTCTGGCAATTAAACAGAACCCCCTTCTGGCAGAAGCCTATTCAAATTTGGGGAATGTGTACAAGGAAAGAGGACAGTTGCAAGAAGCAATTGAGCATTACCGGCATGCATTGCGTCTCAAGCCAGATTTCATCGATGGTTATATCAACCTGGCAGCCGCATTGGTCGCAGCAGGTGACATGGAAGGGGCAGTACAAGCTTACGTCTCTGCTCTTCAGTACAATCCTGTGAGTATAATTTTAGTAATTATTTGCCCTTCACGAAAGCCTATAAAGAAACATAACATAGTTTGATACTTCAGACATGGAACAAAGTTAAGAGTTTACAAATGTTTGTCTACTTAAAATGGTGAAATTGCTTTGATCAGGTCTGTATCATGTTTTTTAAAATTTGTTTGATCTAGCAAGTTATACTCGAAAACATAAAAATTATCCTTATTGCAAGAAACTGTGTCTATGTTTTTATAATGCCTGTGAAAGTCCAGAATACATGACATTGTTTTTTGGGCTGTTTTGATTACATTTGGATAAGCACTGGTAGGTGTTTGCAACAGGTAATTGGTTTTCAAGGATCAGTGGACAGTTAAAACAAGATGACAATATATGGATCAGTGATAAGAAAATGAGGCTGCACAATTTGTTCCTCAAAATTCCATTTCCTTTCAACATAATTAGAAGTGGTAGAGTTGAGGTGACAGTATCCACATCAAGCTTTTTGAAGAGTTCTTGTTTATTGGTCGAAATTGCAGATGTTTTCTGGAGGATAGGGGCAGAGCTGGCAGGCATTAATTAAGTTCACATTATGTCAAAGTCTCTGAAAGATATGCAAGAGTAAAAACTTTCCCTCACAACTTTTGATGTGGTTAGGGATAAGGTAGATTGGAACTAGAAAGGTAAGAGATAAAGGGAGCGATGGAAGGAGTCCAAAAAACTTAAGAATGCATTCCCAAGCTATGTTGTCAACACTTTCAGTTTTGCAGCAACTCTGGAAGTGCTTTATAATGAGCTGTTATGGGTTGCATTTACTGAAAGTCTACTTTCTGCTCAAGACACTGGGGCAGTTGCTTCAGATGGTGGTCTTAATGCTCACAATGAGCATTCAAAATAGGTGGTATTATTTTTAATTTGACCAATTAAGAAAAAAACAGACTCTGGGGTAATGTAAGTTAGGGGGGGTCACACAGCTAGTAATGATGAAGGGGGTATTAAAACCTGAGACTGAATAGCTGGAAAGCAAACACCCAAGAGAGAAATAAAAGATGAAATGGGGGTGGCATGCCCAGAGGGCATGAACCCCTCAAACCAGCCCCCCGGAGCACAGTTTGAAAATCATTGATCATTTCCTGCTCTCCCTTCATCTCTATTTCCTATTTTATAGGTTAAAAAACTGAAGCTTGACACAGTAGTTTGTGCAAATATCTGAGATCACTTTTTCTCATGATATCTCATGTTATCATGATTTCTCATGATAACAATTATTTTTTCAGTTGATTTTTAAAACATTTTAAAAAGATTTTACTGATTTTTAGAGAGTAGGGAAGAGAGGGAGAAGAGAAGCATCAATGTGTGGTTTGCCTCTTGCGCCACTAACTGGGGACCTGGCCCACAACCCAGGCTTGTGCCCTGACTGGGAATCGAACTGGCGACCCTTTGGTTCGCAGGCCGGCACTCAATCCACTGAGCTATACCAGCCAGGACTTTTCAGTTAATTTTGAGAGTGTAAATTAAAAAAAAAATTTATCCTCACCTGGGGACATGCTTATTTGATCTTAGAGACAGAGGGAGAGAAACATCAATGTGAGAGAAAAACATGGATCAGCTGCCTCTAGCACCTGCCCCGACAGGGCTCAAACTTGTAACCCAGGCATGTACCCTGACTGGGAAATGAATCTGCGGCCTTGCGATTTACAGGAACATGCTCCAACCAACTGAGCCACACTGGACAGGGCAAAATTTTTTTTTCATTCATTGCTTTTTGTTTGAATACAGTGAAAAGTCTCCCAGCTATCCTCCTTCTTGGAGGTAGCCATGAAACCAATTTCTTATGTATTTTTCAGAGATATTAATTGCATCTCCAGGGTCCGGCAGAAGTAAGCCCTGCTTGAGTGTGGGTGTAATAATTTATAGTTTTAATTGGAACATTTTACCTAAAATGTCATTTGCTGTACTTGAGTGTGATATTGTCATGTTACAAAATTACATGCTTATGATTTTATAACAACAGATTTTGTAATAAAAGAAGGGCGTTATTTGTGCTGGCTCCTTTGTATGTAAATCTGAGTGCATTTTGTAATTCGTATTACAGTACTATGCCGCTAGTTACCAACAGAAAGTTTTAGAAAACCCTGTTGTGTGAGCTGCCACTGGGGCTCGCACCCTCTTCTCGCCAAGGCTCGGTGCTCACTTGTGCACTTAGTTGTTACAGTTCAATTCTGGCCCTTGATTAATCAGGGCTGGTTTCACCCTCCACTTGCTGATTGAGTGGAAGCTCCCTCGTGCCCTCTTCCATAGCTGTGGTTCCAAACATCTTGAACTCTGATCCCCTTGGCTCAGGTTTCCAGTTACCTCCATGTGGCGCAGGGCGGTTGTTGGCACTCACAGTACACCATACCAGAGGAGTGCGATAAGGAGGGAAAGCCGAAGTGGGAGACGGAAGCATGGTTTCCAATACCTAACCTGTTAAGAGGGAGCTTATCATTACGTCCTTCCAAAGAAGATAGCACTAAAATAAATCATGGCATTGCCCCCTGAAGGCATCACAGAGCTATGCATCTCCATCTGGTTCTGTTTCTACTAGTGGAAAGTGCTGCTTTATTTCTCTGTCTTTACCAGTAAGAATGAAAAAGGCATTGTGCAAGCTGCCTTGATTTCCCCTAAATATACCATAGCGAGCGTGTTTTAATGTATTTCGGGATATCTAGTCTTGACTCAATTTACCGTCAAATGCCAATGTCAGTTCGGTGCTGGCAAAATCTTGAGTCTGTTCCTGAGTTGTGCTCCTGCTGGCAGTGCGTTGTTGGCCTGAATTATAGATGTAGTTTGTATTCTATGAAAAATAGTTAAACACACTCAGGGTATTTTGGTTTTGCAGCAGTGAAAGAGTGTTAAGGTAGTGCTCTTTTTAAAAACATGTTTTATTTATTTTTAGAGAGAGGGGAAGCAAGGGAGAAAGTGGGAGAGAAACATCAATGTGTGGTTGCCGTGCACCCCCCTACTGGGGACCTGACCCACAACCCAGGCATGTGCCCTGGGGCCCTGACTGGGAATCAAACCGGCGACCCTCTGGTTCGCAGGCTAACACTCAATCCATTGAGCCACACCAGCCAGGGCTAAGGTAGCGTTCTTGGTAACCTGTTTTTCAGTAGTGTTTAACTCTTTAAGCTAATGGTATATCTATTTATAAGTTACTCTGTGACTTGAATATAGAAATTACTTTTAAAGCAGCTGTTTCATATTTTTGCGTTCTGAATTGTCTCTTGTAATGATGGATGATTTAATAAATAATTTCACTAAAATTTTAGTAAAAATTGTAGTCCATCATATTTGAAGGTGCTATTGTAGCTGGTAATTTTTCACACAATGGGTCAGTAGTGCTGCCCATACCTGGCAATCCCTTTTATGAATTACGTGTAAAATTGTCCTTTGTAAAGTAGCTGTCTGTAATCCTGAGTTTCTCTAAGGAACCCTGTTTCTGCGTCTATAGGTTGTTGAACCATCGCTTCTGATTTGATTGTGGATGCACGGCACTGAGAGTGACCCGCATCCTGACATCACGTGTTACTATCATGTTAATTATTCCTGTTGCTAGCCTCACTTATACAGGAGCTCTGCAGGAAATCATATATATATTTAAAGAGTTTATTTTTATTATTTATTTTTAGAGAGGGAAGGGAGGGAGAAAGAGAGAGAGAGAAACGTCAATGTGCGGTTGCTGGGGGTCATGGCCTGCAACCCAGGCATGTACCCTGACTGGGAATCGAACCTGCGACACTTTGGTTCGCAGTCCGCACTCAATCCACTGAGCTACGCCAGCCAGGCGAAATCATATATTTCTATTCCTCTCTGCCCTGCTGTTTAAATTTGCCACGTGTGTCACACTTAAATATGAGTGCTTATTGTGTGTACAATGCTTTGTTAGGAATTGGGGAGATGTGTTGGGGGAAGAAGTTGTGGATTATAATATGAGACAGGATCTGACCCATGAAGGATAAAAGGTGTAGGTTCCTTGGATGATCAGGGTTGGAGAGTATTAATCAGAGGACTTTTCTTGAGTGGGCGCTTATAACCTAAGCATTCTGTAGGAAGGCAAATAAATAGCAAGTCAACTTCCTTGGCTGAAGCGGTGAGTCAAGCAGTAAGAAGGAGTGAGTGTAGCAGAGGAGAGTCAGTTGGAAGGTTTAGAAAGAGTAGAGAGGCGGAGGAGTTTGAATTTAACTTAAGAGGCAGTTAAGAACTGTAGGTTTAAATCAACCTGATCTTACTTCATGTCCATGTGTGTGTATATTTAATAGGTGGTGAGGGTGGGGTGGGGGAGTTCTAAGAGGAAAGGCAGGAAGCAGATGCTATCTTAGGAGGCGTGGATATACAGGAAATTCTTACTCATTTCCATCTCATTACCTTTATTCATACTTTTCCCCTTGTTTACAGTGCCCTCCTCCTTTGTCTATCAAAGTCCTACTCATCCTTTAAGGCCCAGCTTAAATTTCTTTTTTTGAGTTTATGTACTCTAAAATTCTTTACCACCATCTGGGCATTTGATATGTATGTGTCTCGTCTTTCCACATAGATTGTAATCCCCTCTAGGGTGAGGATGCTATTAGTTTCTTTTCTCTACAGTTCCAGATATGATACTGAATTGAATAAAGGTTTGCATAAAAGGTGTTAACCTGGGAATGGATAGAGTGGGCCGGGTTTGAGAAACGTATTCTCAGCCTGGCTGGTATGGCTGTCAATTGAGCACCAGCCTGCAAACTGAAGGGTCGCCGGTTCGATTCCTGGTCAGGGCACACACCTGGGTTGTGGGCCAGGTTCCCAATTGGGGGCATGCAAGAGGCAACTGATTAATATATCTCTCCCTCATTGATGTTTCTCTTCCTCTCTTTCCCCCTTCTCTCTCTAAAAAGTAAAGAAATAAAATCTTTAACACATTATATAAAAAAAGAAAAGTGTTCTCTTAGACGTTGTTTTGAGTTGACAAATGAAACAACATATGCGTTAGGTTTTGAACTTTTGGGAGAGTGGTGGTAATTCTCCATTGAAGAATTGCCACCTTCATGCATAAGGTGTTCATGCATAAGGTTCGGAGCTTCAAGTGGGAGCATCAGATTTCACTGTTACATTTACTTTGTATTTAGTATGGTATGTTTTATGTTTTTTTTTTTAAACTGCCTTATTGATTATCTTACAGTGATCTTGGAGATCATCTATTTTTAACTACAGTCATTGTGCTAACGTGATTTAGTATGCTGTAATGGATCTCAATGATATAACTGAATATAGATAGATACACCGTCAGGACTGGGGTGGCAGCCATCCAAGGGTTTATAGAAACTAGAGGGTAAAATTATGCAACAGTTGGCTATGATGTATAGCCCATTAGGGTCATTGTTGGAGAATTATTGCAAGACTTGTGATTATTATGGCTCAGAAAAGACGTAGGAATTGGTAAAAGTCCAAAGCTATGTATAACCACAATAATTGGGTATAGTGGGAGCTCGTGTGAACAGAATAGATGCTCAGTCTTGGTTTGCAAAAACAGAAGGATAGCCCTTAAAGTGTAGGGAAAAATCATACGAAGTAGATATTGAGATTATAACATTCATTACTTCTGACAGTATAAATAGGGTTAAAAAGTGCTCAGACTCATGAGGGGAGGAGAAGTCTGTAATAAGAGCAATGATATTTATAATGTTTTGGGAATTACTGTTAATATTAGCTTCTTATGCTTGAGGTCAGTAGAGACAGCCATTCTCTCCCAAAACACCAGTCCCTGCTTGATGGACAGACACATGGGGTAGATCATGGAAATGACCAGTATGGCCAACCGTAAGGGTGTTCTGTACAGCTACACTGCGGGAAACCATGGATTTCTATTCCCCTCTGCTCTGCTATTTTTAAAAGATTTATCGATTGATTGATTGATGATTGATTGATTTTTAGAGAGAGGGTGAGGGAGGGAGAAAGAGAGGGAAACATCAGTGTATGGTTGCCTCTCACGTGCGCCCTACTGGGGACCTGGCCAACAGACAGCCCAGGGGTGTGCCTTAATTGGGAATCGAACCGGTGACCCTTTGGTTCGCAGGGCAGTGCTCAATCCACTAAGCCATGTCTGCCAGGGCTGCTTTGCTATTTTTTTATGGTTTCCTTTGCATCATCTGAGCCCCTAAAATTCGTGAATAGCATAAGTGTTTAGTTTCCTATTGTGGTCTGAAAAGTTACCACAAATAGTGTCTTAAAAATAATACAAATGTTTTTCCTTACAGTTTTTATAAGTCTGGGCACAGTGTGGCTAGATTTTCTGCTCCAGATCTCTTCCTGAAATGAATGTGTTGGCCAGGGCTACTCATCTTGGTCTTGGGTTCTCTTCCAAGTTCACTGGTATTGACAGGAGTCCCTTTTCCTGCTAGCTGTCAATAGGGGACAGCTCTGAAATCCCAGAGGCTGTCTGCAGTTCTTGCCACGTGACCTGCCCTGCAGGTAGTTCACACTATGAACACTTGCTTTCTTTCTGGCCTGCTGGAGCACATTTCTCTGACTTGCTCTCTGTCTGCTCTGCTGTTTAAATTTGCCATGCAAGTGTCACATTTAAATATTTGAGTGCTGCCCTGGCTGGTGTGGCTCAGTGGATTGAGTGATGGCCTGGGAACCAAAGAGTCGCTAGTTCAATTCCCAGTCAGGGCACATGCCTGGGTTGCGGGCCAGGTCCCCAGTTAGTGGCATGAGAGGCAACCACACATCGATGTTTCTCTCCCTCTCTTTCTTCCTCCCTTCCCCTCTGTAAAAGTAAATAAAAAAATTTTTTTGAGTGCTTATTTTGTATACAAGACTTTGTTAGGAATTAGGGGAGATTGTTGGGAAAAAGTTGTGGATTATAATATGAGACAGGATCTGACCTATCAAGGATAAAAGGCGTAAGCTCCTTGGATGATTATTGTTGGAGAGTATCTGCTGGCTGGCTTTCAGTTCTCCCGATAGATGATAACATATAATCACAAAAGCTGCTTATCGGTAAAATTAATCACCTGGTTCTAATGCAGTGGCACATAGGATAATATATGTGATGATACTGTGGCGCATTTGGCAAAATTTCACTTTCTGTGACTTAATGCAAGGCTCTTCCACCCATGGAACAGTTTGGAATGATAAGCCTGTACTCCCTATTGCCATTGTCTCTGCTTGTTGACTGACAGATTTGACTGACAAAGGCAGAAAAAGGATGCATAAAAATTTAAACTCACTGTTCTGATGACGGGTCTTTTTATACTGATGAACGGACTGGTGAGTCAGATGAGTCAGATGACTAGCAACACAATTGTGCTGCTAATGAAAAGCACAGCCAACTGCTTTTCATTATTCACCTATTCAGCTCCAATGGCAGTTAATACTAATGAGTAATCTGGTGGCAGGTGCCAGGATTGAAGCTTTGGTTGGATGGAAATCCTTCTTTCTAACAGTGAAATGAAGTCAGGTTTTAAATTTTTTTAAAAGACTTTTATTTATTTACTTTTAGGGAGGGGAGGGGAAGGAAGGGAGAAAGAGAGGGAGAGAAGCATCACTGTGGGAGAGATACATCAATCGGCTGCCTTTCACGCGCCCCCTACTGGGGACCTGGCCCGCAAAACCCAAGGCATGTGGTCTGACTGGGAATCGAACTGGCTACCTTTCGGTTTGCTGGCCGGTGCTCAATCTACAGAGCCACACCAGCCAGGGCTGAAGTCAGGTTTTTAAAATACGCCTGATAGCCTAGGGCTAGGTTTGCTGATAGCTAGTCATGGCTCAATACTCTTTTTTTACTATGGAAAATTTTTGGCCCTTGATAGAGGAGTGATTCATTATAAGCGTGAACAAAATAGTTGAACAAACATTTTTTTTAACATGACTAACATTTGTGGGGAAGGAGAAGCTATAGTAAGGCCCATAGTTTTTTTTACCTGAAATTGTTGGGATCAAATGCATTTCAAAATCCAGATTTTTTTAGGATTTTAAAGAGATGCTAATACCACATATAGAACTCTCCTAGGTGGGTCTGGAGCAGCGAAACAAATTTATATTTCTGCCCAAAAAGGTATGAGTGTTCACACTAAGTGGGCTCAGTAAATTATATAAATAACTTTGTGCCACTTCAGGCCAGGCTGAATCATCAGATGAGTTTTTGGAACTTTTTGGAATTTGAAATTGAGGCTGAGGGATTGCGGTTCTGTACTTAATATTTGTCAGGCAGTGGCTTTAGACGAAAATAAAATGACAGGAAGCTGGATGCATACAATTATTTCAAGCTGCTTTTGGTTGCGAATGAGTGTAACTAATGTCACCGTCTCTGGATTTCCAGGATTTGTACTGTGTTCGCAGTGACCTGGGGAACCTGCTCAAAGCCCTGGGTCGCTTGGAAGAAGCCAAGGTAGGTGTTTGCTAGAACACATTTAAACATCAGTGTTATGAACACTTGTACCTTTTGCCAAGTCTTCAACTCTCCATTGAGCTGTCTTCACAAAACAGTCCTAAGAAACTGAGGAAAACTGACGGCATGAATCGCCTCAGACTAGAGCAGGGCCAGGCTTTGGCATATCTGTTCTAAATCTGGGGGTAACGCAAGAACCTGAACGTCTTGGAGCCTTTCTGCTGAGCTAGATCATCTCTATAACAATGGGCTCCGACGTGATCTTATGTGGGAATAAATAACATTCCTTCAAATCTGAGGCTTGCCTGCTGGTGACAAGCAGAGCGCCTGTGATTTGGCTCAAGACGCCTTATGATGCAGGTGCCATTGAAAGTGCTGCTCTTCTAAGTCCTTTGTGGCTTGTAAGTGGAGAAGAACTTCATCCAAATGTTACCCTGTAATACTGGCATTTAAATTCTTATTTAACCTTCCTCCCTTCATCTTCCTCACCCTTTTTACAGTGGAAGAAAGGCTGTTAAAATGATTGCAAATTAAACAATTGGAATGTCCTGCCCCTTCTTGTCCCCACTCCCTCCTCCAAGTTCCCTTTTCCTCTTTTCCGATCCTAGTCATCTGCCTTCTTTTCTTCTTTACTTCCTTCTTTTACTCCTCCCCACCCCACCTCCTTAAAAAAAAAAAGGACAAAGCTGGTTTGTTTGGGAAATGGACTGATCGAAAGAAAACTTGCCAAAGTGGAAAGGTGGCTTTTAGCATTCTGTGTTTCCAAATAATGAATTTGAACACCAGGTTGGGTTATTAAAGCATTTGGTATAATTTTAAATTAAATTTATAAATGAAATTGCCTTGTTACAAGCCACCTTACGCAACCGCGCTGCAGGGGTGAGGAGTGGGGAGAAACCAGAATGCTTCTGAAACTCCCACCTGTTGCTCTGAGCCCCACGCGCATGCTAATGCGTGGAGTGTATGCGCAGCGTAGCTGTCTGTTTGCTTCATCCAGGGAGGAGGAAGGCTTTTTAGCACCATCTCATGTTCAAAGGCACTAGTTTTAAGTGCATAGCTTGTAAATTCTGCCGACACTTTGGATTAACCTTATGTAGGTTTCCAGCTAATGAATTGTAGTAATTGATTTCAATCTTAGCTGATAAATCCAATTGGTAATTTATAGAACAAATATTCGCTAAGCTCCTATTACTTGTCACCCCACCAAGCGGACAGCTAACATGAATTGCACTTCACTGCAGCTTTAGAGATCGGTTTAGGCTGAGACATTGCGCCTGCCTTAGGTTGCTGACTTCTTTATTTCAGAGCTCTGGAGACACCTAGTTTGAAAAATGTTATTCTGTTTTTGTGAGAACTAGTGAACAAGAAAATACTCTTGAGTGAAATGCAATGTATTTCTTTTGTAATCAGTGCATTTGAAAATTCAAGCCAGCATATTCCTAGTAGACGGAAGCAAAATTTATGTTGCCTTTGTAGAAAACCAAGAGCCTTTCTTCCAGCAAAAGTCCCTGCTGTATGCAATAGCCCTGATTAACCCTCTCCCTTCTGCATGTTTCCCATGTTACAGACTTGAGACTGTCCTCATTCCCATATGTAATAGACATCCAAAGAATTTCAATTGCTTTGTTGAACTTTTACTAATGATCTTGTTTTTATTTTCTCTCTTGTTTTTGGTTTTTCACCATTGATATTGTATTTAGAAGGTTTCAGGTGGGTGAAACCTCCTATTCCATGCGTAAGGTGCCTCGCTGAAGGGAGCTCGAGGCCTGGATCTAGGGCAGACACACACCTCCTCCTCTTCCAGCAAGGAACGCACCGAAAAGTCACATGATGAGAAATATGGTAACGGGTTTGTAACTGCCACAGCGAAACAATTTGCCTCCATGCCTGAATCTTCTGTCTTGTGGCTTCAGAAACAGCTTAAAATAATTTGATTTACAAGCAAGTTATGTAAGAGAATGTTTTAAACTATAGCCACAATTCTGTCAAAGATAAGTAAAAGTTAATTGATATTAAAAATTATTAGATAATTTACTAGTAAAAGCTTCTAACTCTTCTCGTTGTTCATTTTTTTCCTTTTTTCTTCTTTGTTTGGATTGCAGCATTCTGCTCTTCTGATGATGCGCTGTGACCCTGCAGTAGCGCAAAGGCTGCGCAGCGTTAACGCGCAATGCGTGCGAATGAGCCCCTGTGAACGGTTGACTAGATGAGTAATCTGATTGACTGGCTCCCTCAGCCCTATTCTGTAGCCTTTTTGGATAAAATTGGGTTTTAACCTACCTCAAGTCCAGCTAATCTCATTAAGCAAATATTCTCTATGGGCCTGTCTAGTAGATTAATGGATCTGGTTGGCCGTTTGCTGCGTCTAGGGGTGTTCTATGTAGCGCAGCAGTTCGCAGCGATTGCGCAGTGCGATGCTGTTAGGTTGCGCAAGCGATGTTTGCGCTCGCATTACAGGGACCTCAACCTAGGTGCAATCCTGTCATAGGAGGTTTCAGCCTCATCCCCCCTTGGGAGATAGGGAAATTGCAAGGACGTAACTTACACCCTGGTTTTAGATCTGACTTGGCAGAAAGACTTTTCTTTTCTCAGTAGCACAGTTTCGATGTTAGTGAGGAACATTATGGTTCAGAGCAAGCACTTCCCAAAATGTGTTTCATAGTACCCATTCTAACAAGAAAATGCCCAGTGAAGGAAGAGGTCCATGGTCAGCTGAGATCAGGGAACCCTGTATATACTATTAAAGGCTTAGGGAAGTCCTGTAGTAAAGAAACCTATTTTTCTCATTTATGTGATCTTGAAAACCTCTTTTCCAGTGATACCTATTAACACCTTAGGGAACGCACTTTGGGAAACAGGTTGAGGGAGTGACGGGAAAACTTGGCTTGAAGTGGCGCCCTCTAGAGACCATTTGCAAACATAACAAGTTCTTAGGTGTTCAAGTAGGAGAAGTCTAGCGTCAAGTCTTAAGGCAATTGACTTCCCAGAAAAGTCCCAATTTAAGGGTTGGTCACTGGTTGGCAGAACTGAACATGGTGGTTTGCACTTGGGTTCTGGTGGCGCAGGCGCAGGAGCAGCCAGCTGTGGCAGCGCTTTAGTTTTGGCGCAAGCGAGCCTATGCTGCAGGGTCACTTTTGACTGGTCAGAGAAGGAATAATGATATCACCTTCTTCCCCCTCCCCCAATCTTTTTTTTTCCCTTTACAAATTTCCCCCTTTCCCTTTACCTCCTTCCCCTCCCATCTTCTTTCATTAACCCCTCCTAAGGCATGTTATTTGAAAGCAATTGAGACGCAACCGAACTTTGCAGTAGCTTGGAGTAATCTTGGCTGTGTTTTCAATGCACAAGGAGAAATTTGGCTTGCAATTCATCATTTTGAAAAGGTTAGTCATTAAATTAATAATTGGTATTATGAAGTGCTCACGTGCGCAAGATATTTTTACTAGAACTAAATAATAAGCCTCTACTTAACCAGGCACATAATGTCTTTGCTGCTTTGACAGTATTACTACAACAGCATTTGCTGGTTGGTATATTATATGACAGTTTCCAGTTTTGCATTGAAAATATATTTTAGTAATAAAAAAGTCCTTTTAAAAGAACAGGCAGCTTTATTGTGAAGAAGCAGGGCTTCTTGGCACAAAGGCTGGTTCCAGATCTAGGGTAGGGAATGTACAAAATTAACCTGGGATGCTTTACCAGAAATTAATCAATCTGGAGTGTCATACCAGAAAGCCAGGAGGCTTTGATACATTACCTTGATCATGTCGAAAAAGACTTAGGAGGCAAGTGGAAGAGGCTTCTACTGGCTAAAGATGGGACTTCAGCATCAGTAAGAAAAAATAACTGAAATATATTGAAACTTGTCAAATACATTAAGATACATGAATTCATGATTATACGCAGAAGGAATTCATTGGTAACCTTTGGATGATAAGGAGTAACTCATTTCAAAATGGATGAAAAGGGAAGAATAAAGCATATGTCCTCCTTTGTATGAACTGACCTTGGGGTAACCCAATAGTTGATAGGGGAAAGTTTCTTTATAAAAGTATTATAGCTAATAAATGAAGGACCCTGGCTGGTGTAGCTCAGTGGATTGAGTGGGGGGGGGGCCTGTGAACCCAATGGTCGCTGGTTCGATTCCCAGTCAGGGCACATGCCTAGGTTGTGGGCCAGGTCCCCACGAGAGGGCATGCGAGAGGCAGCCACACATGGATGTTTCTCTCCCTCTCTTTCCCTGCTCTCTAAAAATAAATAAAATCATTAAAAAATTAATGAAGAAGGAATTACAGAATCAGAGTATCACCATTAATAGATTTAAGAATTTATCAGTGGCACAAAAGAGACAAATCAGACATTTTTATGTACCTTGTGATAGAAATAAATAATTCCACCAGGGAAGTAGCCTTGCAAAAAGAGAAAAGAACCCAAATTGGATTAAGCTTGTAGCTCTAAGTACCAATTTATAGGAAATACATGGGAGAAGGAAACATGTTAAAACACTTTAGGGATGCACTCAGCAAAATCCAACCCATGAGAAGTTATATAGGAGAGTGATCCGATTTCTTCAACAAATTACAGGGATAAAACTGGAGATTTAAATGAAAGCTTTAATTTAAAAGATTAAAAGAAACCGACAAAGTCATGTTGACAAGTTGGATGGGTCTCACTTGGATCCCGAATCAAAGTTGACAAGGACTTGCACTACCGAACGGCTATTTGATGTTAAGGAATTGCTGTCAGTTTTGTAGGGGTGATATTGGTGGTGTGGTTCTGTTGGGAAGAGCAGGTGTTCCGCCTAGTCCCTGAGATACATTTGGAAATATTTTCAGATGGACCGTTATGTCTGGAGTCAGCTTCACAGTGATCTGGGAAGAGGGGGAGTTAGACTGGAATATAGACTAAAAAAGATTGAATGTGATTAATTATTGAAGCTGGATAATGAAGACCTGGTGGTTGGTTATATTCCTATGCTTTTATAGACGTGCGAAATTTTTCATAACAAAATGTTAAAAGTTTTAGGGGTGGATATCCGTGACTATAGACAATCCAAGTTAAGTGCATCATGCTGTCTTTGTTTCCTTTTTATTGCATTTATTGGAGTGACACTGGTTAAAAAAAATTATACAGGTTTCAGGTGCGCAATTCCACAACAGCATCATGCTGTCTTTAGAGTTGCCATCTAAGTGAAGAGGAAGTGTTCTTTATGAATCTTTAACATATTCACAGTTAACTACCTTTACCTTTTCAGTGTTTCAGTTAAGGTTTGCAGTTATTGCACCTCTCTTTTTTAAAAAAAGATTTTATTCAGTTTTAGACAGGGGAAGGGAGGGAGAGGAACATCATGTGTGGTTGCTGTGCGCCCTCTACTGGAGACCTGGCCCGCAACTCAGGCATGTGCCCTGCCTGGGAATCTAACCGGCAACCCTTTGGTTCCCAGGCTGGCACTTAATCCACTGAACCACACGAGCCAGGGCTTATTGCGCCTCTCTTGCTCACTGATTGCCTACCTTGGTTGTATACAAGAAGCTTATAAAAAATATGGTTGTCCTGGCCCCATCCTTAAAGAGTCTAATTTCACTGGCCTGTGATGAAGGCTGGGCACCTTTTAGGAGGCAAATTCTTAATATACTGCCAAGGTTGAGGATCACTGCTCTAGGTATGTCTAGCTGTATTTTAAGACAACTTCAGAACTGTCTGGATGCAACCATTTAATGGTTAGTTTCTCCTTGAAGTAATGTGTCTTAGTGAGTATACCTAATTACATAGCTTATTAAGATCTTACTGAGTATATACTTATAGTTGCTGAGGTTTATATATATATATATATATATGAGGTTTATATACCACTTTTTCAATTGGAGTTTGGTGCTTTCTGCCATTATTTTTTAAGAAGAATTAGGCTGATTAATCATTAATAAAATAAGGCCAACCATTAGAAGTACTCAGCTCCATGAAATTGGAGTAGACCCAACTAAAATTTTTTCCCTTCGGGACACATTTTGCCCTTGTATTACATGAGAAGTTATTTTGATCACACTGAGATTTGTGAGTAATGAGTAGGTAGTGCAATAATTGGGCTTTAAAAGTGAAAGAAATAAGATTTAATATCCTAGAAAAGGTAATTGGAGGTCTAAAATGATCTCAATAAAAATTGTAATAGGGAAGCTAATCTGAAACTTGAACTTGCTCTTAGTAACTGTCTTGTACCTTTCAGGCTGTCACTCTCGATCCCAATTTTCTGGATGCTTATATCAATTTAGGAAATGTCTTGAAAGAGGCACGGATTTTTGACAGGTAAGAGAATGTTCTACCTGATACTTTTCTTGTGTCTTTGTTGTATTGACACTTGAGAGTTTAGGCTGAAATTATGATAGTGATCTCCTGAAACCCATTTTCCTTTTCTAGTATGTTGCTTTGTCGTGATCAAGTCTGCTTCATTACCTTTTATTTATAGGTATTGTTGCCTGACTTGATTGTTGGCTTTCCACAAAGCCATTATCCTCATTGAGAGTTCAGTTGAAATTTTATTTATTTAAGAAATGTTGAAATGGGTATCTTTTATTTTCTTTTTAATAAAATTTATTTTTAGAGAGAGGGGAAGGGAAGGAGAAAGAGAGGGAGAGAAACATCAATATGTGTTTGCCTCTTGCGTGCCCCCAATGGGGACACAGCCGGCAGCCCAGGCATATGCCCCTGACTGGGAATCAAACCAGCAACCCTTTGGTTTGAAGGCCTGTGTTCTACCCATTGAGCTATGGCAGCCAAGGCTGCAATGGTTACCTTTTAGACTAACTTACTCCTTTGAACTGATTCACAGAGCTAGGTAAATCTTGACTTTGAACTTTTGTGGTGTTATCAAAAAGAAAGCCTATTTCTTATATGGGAATAGAAAACTCTTCTGTGTAAAACTATAGTTTATAAGTGTGCAATTTTGATTCAGGGTTAAACTATATTTTATAAAGGTGCAATTTTGATCGAGGTTAACGATACTATAGCATGAATTAATTGTAACTAATTTTGATTAATTGATATACTTAGGTATACTATAGCATGAATTAGTTGTAACAAAGCATCCATTAAAAGTTAGTCGCATTTTGTGTGTGTGTGTTTTTATTCACAGAGCTGTGGCAGCTTACCTTCGTGCTCTAAGCTTGAGTCCAAATCATGCAGTGGTGCACGGCAACCTGGCTTGTGTATACTATGAGCAAGGCCTAATAGATCTGGCAATAGACACCTACAGGCGAGCTATTGAACTGCAACCACATTTCCCCGATGCTTACTGCAACCTAGCCAATGCTCTCAAAGAGAAGGGCAGTGTAAGGATTTTTATTCAGTTTATTTCCTTGTTACCTTGTATGATTTTAAAAAGTCTTTTTTTGTACATACTGTATTAAGTATTGAGGTGGTAAATTGTTTTCCTTTGGAGTTTTGGTTGAGAGGAAGAATGGCAAAAATACCCGTTTTCTGGAATCTCACCAGCCATTATTAGGCTTAACTAAGCAATTGTTAGAACAATATGAGTGGTGGTTCTGGGATTCCTCTGTATAGGTTTTGAATAGCGTGCTTTGTTTCCTAGGTTGCTGAAGCAGAAGATTGTTATAATACAGCTCTCCGGCTGTGCCCCACCCATGCCGACTCGCTGAATAACCTAGCCAATATCAAACGAGAACAGGGAAACATTGAAGAGGCAGTTCGCTTGTATCGGAAAGCATTAGAAGTATGTTGAAGGTGATGGGGCTGGGTATTTTGTCTCTGAGATGGTAAAGGAGGGCAGTTCAGGTTGCCCTGTTAACCACCTCTTTTGTAAAAATAGTGGGTGACTCAGTCATTGAACCAGTAGTCGAATACCTAAGGGATGAGTGAGGTCCTGTGTGACATTTAAGAAAATTCCTACGTTGCCTTTGGTAATTTATGGGTTGATGAGATCTGCACAGAAAAATGGAGCAGCAGTAAGCTATGGTTCAAGAGAAGTTACCAATAAATCTAGCATTTCAGTGCCTGGTGGCTTTAGTAGTGGTTGGTAGGTGTGGTAGGACTTTGGAAGTGAGATTTCAGAAGAGAAAGAAGCTGGAGTGATCATCATAAATTAAGATGAAGAAAGGTCTATCTCATTTTTTAAAACAAGAAGAGGTATAAAATAAGAGGTATTGGGTTGGCCAAAAAGTCCCTTTCGTTGTTTTTTTTTTCCCCCATAAAATAAAAGGTGAATTTTTCATTTTCTTTTTAAAAAATATTTTAAAAAATTTTAAAAGATTTTATTTATTTACTTGTTTTAAAGATTTTGTTTATGTTTAAACAGAGGGGAAGGGAAGGAGAAAGAGAGGGAGAGAAACATCAATGTGTGGTTGCCTCTTGTGCACCCCCTAGTGGGGACTTGGCCCACAACCCAGGCATGTGTCCTGACTGGGAACTGAATTGGTGACCCTTGGGTTTGCAGTCCAGCACTCACCCCAGTGAGCCACGGCAGCCAGGACTTCATTTTCACCAATAACTTTATTGATTTGGATATTTTGAGTATGTTGGCTATCTCCCGCTATTGGCTTCTAGTGGGTAGAGGCCAGGGGTGCTGCTAAACATCTTCCAATGCATAAGGCAGCCCCACAGCAAAGAATTATTTGGCCAAAATGTCAGTAGTACCAAGAAACTTTGCAAACCACTTTTGACATGTTTGATGAGTTGGAGCACCTTCTTAATATGCTGCACAAATCTTTTGCATTTCAGTTGCATTTTTACCTTTCTTGAAATAATAATGCACAATACACCAAAAGTGTTGCATATCCTCTTTCACCTTCCGTATTAAAATGGCTGCACAAAGTTTTTTTAAATGCATGCTGGTATGACAGCTGTCACTATACAATCTTGACAAAATTGTTTTTTAAGATAATTTTTAAAAAGATTTTATTATTTTTAGAGAGGGGAAGGAATGGAGAAAGAGGGAGAACAACACCAATGTGTTGTTTCCCCTCAAGCACCCTTTACTGGGGACCTGGCCCGCAACCCAGGCATGTGCCCTGACTGAGAATTGAACCAGTGACCCTGTGGTTTGCAAGCCCATGCTCAGTCCACTGAGCCACACCACCAGCCAGGGCTAACAAAATTGTTTTGAATGAAGTCAAAGACAAGTAAGCACTACTAGAGCCATCATACAGAAAAAAAGTAAACAAACTTTTTGGCCAACCCAGTAGAATTTGAGCTACTCATCTTTGATGAATGAGTAGGCTTGGGGAAGGCGGAGAGAAGTGTAGGGGTATAAAGGTAATTGAGCAAAGTTCTTGTTGTGGTTAAGTCATTACTGCTGTTCTAGCAGTTCTTTTGAACCTCAGTTTTCTTGACTCTTTACAGGTCTTCCCAGAGTTTGCTGCTGCCCATTCAAATTTAGCAAGTGTACTGCAGCAGCAGGGAAAACTGCAGGAAGCTCTGATGCATTATAAGGAGGCTATTCGGTAAGGGACTCATAGCCTTCTCTTTGTCTGTTAAATTTTTGAATGATTGGCATGCTGAAATGACTTTTGATAACAATAGACTAAATTCACATTGCAGGGGGTTTAAAGGTTTTTGTATCTGGTAAGTGAAACCTGTGTCCTCTCCTTTAGAATCAGTCCCACCTTTGCTGATGCCTACTCTAATATGGGGAACACGCTAAAGGAGATGCAGGACGTCCAGGGAGCCTTGCAGTGTTACACTCGGGCCATTCAGATTAACCCTGCATTTGCAGATGCCCATAGCAATCTGGCTTCTATTCACAAGGTACTCCTGTTTATTACACTGCTTTCATCTTGGCCCCTAATGTTTGATTTTCAGCAACATTTTAACCACTCCACTCTCTTTATTTCCAGGATTCGGGAAATATTCCAGAAGCAATAGCTTCTTACCGCACTGCTCTGAAATTGAAACCTGATTTTCCGGATGCTTATTGCAACTTGGCTCATTGCCTGCAGGTAAAGAATAACAGGCCAGTGATTGGCTTGTCATGTTGTGGTCACTTTTGTTTTTGTTGGTGGGGGGAGCCGTTGAAGATTTTATTTATTTATTTTTTACAGAGAAGGAAAGGGAGAAAGAGATGGAGAAAAACATCAATGCGTGGTTGCCTCTCGCACGCCCCCTACTGGGGACCCGTGTTGTAATCACTTTTGTATTACTATGTGCCATATTAATCAAAGCCTGCCTGGAGCCAGCCTTGTTGAATAGGTTATCTGACTGACATTCTTTAGGCCAACGACAAATAAAATGTGAAATCCTGCAATAGGGTTTTCTGTATAACTTTTTTTTTTTTTGCCTCCTCCAGATTGTCTGTGATTGGACAGACTATGATGAGCGAATGAAGAAGTTGGTCAGCATTGTGGCTGACCAGTTAGAGAAGAACAGGCTGCCCTCTGTGCATCCTCATCATAGTATGCTATATCCTCTTTCTCACGGCTTCAGGAAGGCCATTGCTGAGAGGCACGGGAACCTCTGCTTGGATAAGGTGTGACTCTTTTTGCTTTAATTTTTTGGTTGTAAGGTAAAACATACAGAAACTACATGAATCTCATGTCCTGCTTCGTAAGTCATCATCAGGTAAACCCCATCCAAGATGAGACATGAAACTCTGTCAGCCACCACAGAAACCCCTTCCATTGTGTCCTGTTTCAGTTAGAACCCAGGTCATCCCACAAGGTGGAATTCTTTTTTTTTAATAGAATTTATTTAATTTTAAAGATTTTATATATTTATTTTTTGATGGAGGGAAAGAGGGAGAGAAACATCAATGTGTTGTTGCCGTGCGCCCTCTACTGGGGACCTGGTCCGCAACCCAGGCATGTGCCTTAAACTGGGAATCCAACTGGTGACCTTTGGTTCACAGACTGGTGCTCAATCCACTGAGCCACACCAGCCAGGGCGAAATTCTTAACTGAAATACTGACAATGGACTGATGATGTTTTCCTTTAATTAGAAAACTGCAATGTTCGTTAGATTCCACATGTAAGTGAAATCATATGGTATTTGTCTTTCTTTGATTGGCTTATTTTACCGAGCCTGATACTCTCCAGGTGCATCCAGTGAGCAAAAGAAAATAGAAATAGGCTCATAGGTACAGAAAGACTGGCAGCTGTCAGACGGGAGGGGGATGAGAGGGTGGGTGAAATAGGTGAAGGGATTAAGCCAAAAAAAAAAAAAAAAACCCAACCCTAAAACAACTCATAGACACAGATGACTGCATGGTGATTACCAGACGGAAAGGGTGCAGGAGGTAGAAGAGGATAAAGAGGGGGGTTAAATGGTGATGGAAGGAGACTTGACTTGGGGTGGTGAACACTCAGTACAACATACAGATGATGTATTAGAGAAGTGCACCCCTGAAACCATATAATTAAGCGATATCACCCCAATAAATTCAATGGAAATTAAAAGAGAAAGAAAACCGTGATGTTTAATAAAGTGTGTGGTATTTTATACTCACTTTTGAGAACTAGAGCACTACATACTTGATCGAAGGTGGAAATTTGCTTGGCAGAATATATTGGACTTCTAGGTATATATTCTGGTTTTTTTTCCAAATACTTCCCTACAAAATTTTCTAAAACGCAGGGCTTCTCATGCTCTGTCTACACTACCTCCTTCCTACAACTGTTAGATTTGCTCAGGCTATTTCTAAGAGAATAGGCAAAAGTATGAAGCATATTATTATAAACCGCTAAAGTTGCATTGAACTGGCTATGTGAATTAAAGGAAGTACGTTGGGCAAACCATTCCCAACAGGAGTGACGTGCAGGTTTGGTGGTGTGTTTTTAGTCATTTTTTTTCTGGTCGAATATTTGCATGTAGACTCAACTTGACTAACACACATTGGGTTCCATTGGTAGATTAATGTCCTTCATAAACCACCATATGAACATCCAAAGGACTTGAAGCTCAGCGATGGTCGACTGCGTGTGGGCTATGTGAGTTCTGACTTTGGGAATCATCCTACTTCTCACCTCATGCAGTCTATTCCAGGCATGCACAATCCTGATAAATTTGAGGTAAGATCTGTGTTTACCTACCGTCACTCTTTGTTTATAAAACAAACCAAATAGATCCACAGTGTGTCTTTATTGGCACCGTTAGGTGTTAAGCCCGGTGTCCTTTGGAAAGGTTCGGGCCAAGGCCATTAAATACACTGTGTGCTGCCTTTCAGGTGTTCTGTTATGCTCTGAGCCCAGATGATGGCACAAACTTCCGGGTGAAGGTGATGGCAGAAGCCAATCATTTCATTGATCTCTCTCAGGTGCGTGAAATGCTTACACTGCTACCTTTTTGTTTTGAGCAAATAGTAACTGTGAAACCATTGGCCTATTGCTTATATTTTTCATGACAAGTATTTAACCTCAGCTCCTACCTCCGGGCAATTGCTTAGATCGTATTTCCTTGATCATTTACACTTATAAGAGGCATGGATTTTGCTGAGCGAAATGAAATAGAAATGTGGTATGTTTGTGCTTGGACATAAAACTTTTCTGGGGATTGAGCCAGCACTTGTGACAGTAGACACTTAATATTAGCTGAATAAATTGAACAAAATGGTGGCCTGGAAGAAGAAGAAATAGGTCATTTCAAAATGGTTCATCTATTTTCATGGACCTTTGCCTTTGGTTTTTTCATTTCTATGCTTGCTCTATTGCTGTTTCTTCCAGGACAGGGGTGTCAAACTCATTTTTACTGGGGGCCACATCAGCCTTGTGGTTGCCTTCAAAGGGCCGAATGTAACTTTAGGGCTGTATAAATGTAAATACTCCTGAACAGTTAAGCGAGAGCTTGGTGCTGCTGCCAGGTAGAAACAAGGTGGAGGGCCTGATTTGGCTCTTGGGCCTTGTGTTTGCCACCTGTGTTCTAGGAGCTTAAGTTTTATGCTAAATTAAGATTGAAAACTGTGAGGTTACTAATTTGCTGAGGGTATAGACTAGAGTGATTTTTGTATAGACTCTGTCGGCCACTTTGGTGACTGATAGTGATATGCAATGTATAGTATATCTTGTAATTCATATATGAGTCTTCAAAGTCTTAGCAGGAGCATTATGAGACTTGTCATTTAATACATAACATGTACCAACATCTTTTGCAATGTAGCTATTGCTTCGGAAGTATACATGACCTTTTTTTGATGTAGGGTTGGAGTCTTTGTGACTGAGAGTCATACATACCACCATCCATCTCTGAGATATTCAGGGATTCACTGCTTATTTTTTAAAAGGTTTTATTTATTTTTAGAGAGGGGAAAGGGAGAGAGAAAAAGGGAGAGAAATATCCATGTGTGGTTGCCTCTTGCACACCCCCTACTGGGGACTTGGCCTGCAACCCAGGCATGTGCCCTGACTGGGAATCGAACTGGCAACCCTTTGGTTTGCAGGCTGGCACTCAGTCCACTGAGCCACACCAGCCAGGACAAGGACTCACTGCTTATTGGCTGAAGTCTAAACTCCTCAGCATGGCCTTCACAACCTTTCTAAGTTTGACAACAACCTTGTTTGCCAATACTTTTCACCCACCATTCACCCTCATGTATACCCTATACCAAATGGAAGTGCTCTACTCATGATTTTTTAAACCTACCATACAATTTACTCTGGTTCTTTATTCCTACTGTTCTCTACCGAGAGTGCATTCTGCCCAACAACTCCCTTAAACGCCCATCCATCTTTGAAGGCCCATTTCAAATACCACCTACTCTATGAACCCTTGTTATTCCGACATTCAGTCTGGAAGTAAACTTCTGTATAGCTCACCCTTGAATAATGCAGGGGTTAGTGATGCTGGCTCTCGTGTAGTCAAAAACCCATGTGTAACTTTCGACTCCCCCAAAACTTAACTACTAATAGCCTACTGTTGACTGGAAGCCTTTTAATAACATAGTCAACACACCTTTATGTCATATGTGTTATATACTGTATTCTTTCAATAAAGTAAGCTAGAGAACAGAGAATGTTAAGAAAGTCATAATGGGGAGAAAATATATTTATAGCATTGAATTGTGTTTATCAGTCATGTAACATTGTTTATACAAAATGAATCATCTGTCAGAGCCCGTCTCAGTATTGGCTCATGTGATTCAAAACACTGTTCTGTGTTTTACTAACACTGGACATGAAAAATGAAAAGATAATGTGAAAAACAGACATTTACTTACAAGCATAACAATTCATGCCTTGATAATGAAGCAGTATCAATATGATTGCTTTATGGTAGCGTAGCCTATACACTCAAGAATAAATCGCTATAAAGTTTTTGTGGCATGTAGTGTTATAGTTGTATTCATAACAGAATATTGGAAATGTTACATTTTTACAAAACCACTTACCTGTGATTATAGCCTGATAGGTGTGCTGTATGGTAATGTAATTCTTTAAAAAGCAAAGTTATAAAACAGTAAGAAAACTAATGCATTTTTAACATGAAATGGTACTCACGTAATATCTATTTAAGGATAGGCTACCCACTTCCATACAAGTCTTGCACACGATGTTCTGCATTGATGACTACGTAGGCGATGATGATGACACAGAAATGAGTCATACCGTTCTTGCCATTATTAACTGTACAGCAAGATAGTTTCCTGTGTTCATTAAGTGAGTCATCATAAAGGCCTTCATCCTCGGATTCGCATTGAGTCGATGGAGGAGCAGGAAGGAAGTGGAGGGGATGGTTTTGCTGTCACTGGAGGTAGAGGTGGCAGAGGAGGTAGGGAGAGGCAGGCACACTCATAACTTTTCCAGAAATACATTTGTAATTTCTGTCTGCAGTGTTTGCTTTTTCATGTCTCTAAAAATGTTTTTATATGGTGCCAACCCCTCTTCCACTGTTTGCTTTAGTTGCCGTGTCCGCATCATAGCAAGGCTCATGGCGTAAAAGAAGTCAAAAGCCGCCTTGAATAATCGGCACCCTTCTGCCAGATTGCCTGATGTCAGTTTCTTTTCTTGCGCTGCTTCTCTGCCGTCTTCCTCGTTGATTGGCACTGCTCCCGAAGCACTCATCTCCCTGAAGTCATCTTCTGTTAATTCCCCTGGGTGTGGTGCCCGTTAGCTGTTCAGTTTCTGTAAGATCCATAACCCTTCAGCCCCTCTCCCCACCTTTTTTCCTCCATATCCACAATCTCTTTCACGATTTCCTTGATTGGCTCTGTCGTGAATCCTGTGAAGGTCACGCACAACATCTGGTCACAATTTCTGCAGCAGGAATTTATTGTTTCAGGCTTGATGGCTTTCATGGCCTTTCCTGTAACAACGATGGCATCTTCAGTGGCGGAATTCTTCCAGACTTTTCATGATGTTCTCTCAGTTGGGGTTCTCTTTCTTTCATAGAGTTGACAAATATTTCCGTGGAGTACCATGCGTATGAGCCTTACAGGTCCTTATGACCCTGACTCCCTTATTTAGAGGCTGAGGTAGAGGTGTTGCGTTTGAGGGCAAGTAGTCCATTTTGACACATTCACCCAGAACCCCAGTTCAACTTGGACATTGTCCAATATCAAAAAAGCCTAAAAAGCAGGCTCTTATTGGCCAGGTACTTAGGGTTCTGGTTGTCCAGGTCTTGTAAAACCGAAAGACTGCCAGCTGGTGTTTATTTGTTCATTCAATGCTGGCTGGGGGTGGGGTGGGGGGTTAGCAGCTTTATAGATAGGGGCAGTCCTGAACATACACGCAGCTGCATTTGCACAAAACAGAGCTAGTCTGTCCTTTCCTGCTGTAAATCCTGGCGCCTGCTTCTCTTCCTTATTAATAAATGCCCTTTGTGGCATCCCTGCCCACCCCGCTGGATTAGGGTACTTGCATCTGCATTAAAAACCTGGTCAGGCAGATATTCCTTCTCCTTAATCATTTTCTAAATGGTGTCTGGGAACTCGTCTGCCACCTCTTGGTTGACAGAAGCTACTTCTGTTACCTTGCCGTTTTTAAGCCAAACCTCTTTCTAAAATGATCACTCCTTATTTTGCTAGCTTTAAATTCTTCATCTTTAGATCCTTCACCTTCTTTGTGGTTTAAGATTGTCATATAACGACTTTGCTTTTTCTCGAATCATACTAGAACCTATAGGGATGCCTTTCTTACAGCAGTTGAATACCCGCATAAAAGCCGCACTTTCAATACAAGATAGCAAGGTACTTCACAGAAGTGCAAGGTTTTTGAGACTCTGGCATAGCCGCAGAGACACTTCACGAATTTCCATTTCTGTTTTTTAATGGCCCCTGTGCTGGATTCATGTACTTGAAATGGCAGGCAACTACAGCTGCAGACCTCCATTTACAGTGCTGCGTAACAAGCTGTTCAGTTTTTTTTTCTTACCATGTCGTGACTTGACTTTGCTTTTTGGGAGCACTTTCAGCATTACAAGTGGCACTTTCTGTGGGTTGCCTGGTGTTTTATTCAAGGTTTATGGTATTGTTCCAGACATGATGGAAAGCACACAAGAACTGTGAGAAGTCACTTTCGACTGCCATATGCAGTTACCGGAGACAGGAACTTTTCACACAGAGAGGATCAGCATCACACAGTGTTTTAAGCAGATGCTCGCAGCAGTGGAGCTCACTGCGATAGCAACAGGAGGTGGCTGTGAAATTATTATTGCTAGTGCAATATGTACTACAGATAATTTTATGCAGTTATGATTTAATACCACATCTTTATCTTTGTTTACATTTCTCTCAACTGCTTATAAGTATGTACGTTTTGATCAGCTTTATTTATAATAGATTCGTGTATATCTTATGGGAGTATGAGAAAATAGACTAGTATCTATCTATTTATCTACCTTACGCACTCGTGGCATAACTAACTTTTTCTTAATTGTTTTCAGCAGTTCTAGGCTATTTGATTTGTCTGTTGAGTTTTTCCAAATGATCACAAATCTCCAAAAATTTTCCAGTATATTTATTGGAAAAAAAACCTGTGTCTAAGAGGACCCACACTGTTCAAACCTGTGTTGTTCACAGGTCAAATATATTCAGTTTCTGTAATGCTTTGGGCCTATTTTACTGCCACGTAACCATAGCTTTACCCTGCATTACTATAATTTGTGTTCTTACCACTTGTGCATCCGGGAATCTGAATTCTTCTTAAGGCCATTAAAACTAATTGGATTAGTCTGAGATTACACATAATGTTCTTACTCTATTCCACAGATTCCATGCAATGGAAAAGCAGCCGATCGCATCCATCAGGATGGTATACACATTCTTGTAAATATGAATGGTTATACCAAGGGTGCTCGAAATGAACTCTTTGCTCTCAGGCCAGCTCCTATTCAGGTAAAGGAATTAACAATCGCTCACAATGTTTATTGGGCTAAAAAGACAGTAATGTGCTGCTTTTTCCCCCCTCTGGTTACCTTGTATTGGAAACAATAGAGCCGACATGCCTGATTTCAGGGAAAAAAGTATAGGTCTTTTTGTTGTTGTTGTTTTAATCTTCACCCAAAGACATGTTTATTGATTTTTAGAGAGAGGAAAGGAGAAGGTTGAGGTGGGTGGGGGTGGGGAGAGAAACATCGATGTGAGAGAAACATGGATCGGTTGCCTCCCGTATGTGCCCTGACTGGGGATCAAATCCACAACCTAGATATGTGCCCTGACTGGGAATTGAACTCACAACCTTTTTTTTGGTGTATGGGACAATGCTCCAACCAACTGAGCCACCTGGCCAGGGCAAAAAGTAGAGTTCCTGAAATGCACAGGGACAGAGAATTTTGAGTGTAGAGCACAATGCTCACAGTGCATGTATACAGAGACATGCATTCCATAGTGTATAAATACAGGGGTGGGCAAAAGGAGGTTTACAGTTGTAATGCAAATAAATAATACAATAATTAATAAATAATACTACAAGAATAAATTCTGGCCCTGACCAGGTGGCTCATTTGGTTGGAGCGTCGTCCCGAACACCAAAATGTGGTCTGATCCCTGGTCAGGGCACATACCTAGGTTGTGGCGTTCGTCCCTGGTCCAGGTGCGAATGGCGGGCAACCAGTCAATGTTTCTGTTTTTCTCTGTCTCAAATCAATAAACATATCCTTGGGGGAGGATTAAAAAAAAAGTAATAAACTGTGTTTTGCATACTCACAACCGTAACTGTAAATCTCCTTTTACTTGCCCCTGTAGTTGTTCTGTCTTGTTTTGTAAATTGGAAAAACATTTCAGCACTGACGTTAGTCCGAAATACTATTTGATTGCTCCTGGCTATCGAAGTCAGTCCTCCTTATTTGTTTACCTATTTAATTTTGGAGCCTTTGGATGAAGGTTCTTAGTTTTTGGTCTGATTTGTTTTCTTTCTTTCTTTTTTTTTTTTTAAGATTTTATTTATTTATTTTTAGAGAGGGATGGGGGGGGAAGAGAGAGAGAGAGAGAGAGAGAGAGAGAGAGAGAGAGGTATCAATGTGCAGTTGCCGGGGGTTATGGCCTGCAACCCAGGCATGTACCCTGGCTGAGAATCGAACCTGGGACACTTTGGTTCCCAGCCCGCGCTCAATCCATGATTTGTTTTCTTTTAGGCAATGTGGCTGGGATACCCCGGAACAAGTGGGGCGCTTTTCATGGATTATATCATCACGGATCAGGAAACCTCACCAGCTGAAGTGGCTGAGCAGTATTCTGAGAAATTAGCTTATATGCCCCATACTTTCTTTATTGGCGATCATGCTAATATGTTTCCTCATCTGAAGGTAGGAAGAGAAACAGTGCCGTGGGGGAATTGCACAGAGCTGTAGTCATGTGTTTTCTTGCTATTGTCCCTGTATGTCCTAAAAGACATGTCTACAACTTTTTCTCCCCACCTAGAAAAAGGCAGTCATCGATTTCAAGTCCAACGGGCACATTTATGACAATCGGATTGTTCTGAATGGCATCGACCTCAAAGCATTTCTTGATAGTTTACCAGATGTGAAAATTGTCAAGGTCAGAACCTGGTCAATGTTGTCATTGAAATAAAGTTATCTGCATTTGGGATCTTTTCCCTAACGATGCACTTTGTGCCATTTTTTAAAGATGAAATGTCCTGAAGGAGGAGACAATGCAGACAGCAGTAACACAGCTCTTAATATGCCAGTTATTCCTATGAATACTATTGCAGAAGCAGTTATTGAAATGATTAACAGAGGACAAATTCAGATAACAATTAATGGATTCAGTATTAGCAACGGACTGGCAACTACACAGGTGAGAAGTGAAAAATACAGCATAATATGTACCACCAGGTATTCATTCATCTCCTTGAAATCTCATAATTATAAGTCTAGCAGGTAAGTGAAATTATTCCTGTTTCATAGATGAGGAAATGAATTCAGAGGAAATTGGCATCTTATATAGGTTTGTCTGATTTTTTAAAGGTTTTATTTTTATTTATTTTTAGAGAGGGGGAAAGGGAAGGAGAAAGAGAGGGAGAGAAACATCAATGTGTGGTTGCCTCTTGCACACACCCCCCACCTGGGACCCCAGCCACAACCCAGGAATATGCCCCGACTGGGAATTGAACCGGTGACCTTTCGGCTCGCAGGCCAGTGCTCAATCTACTGAGCCACACCGGCCAGGGTGGCTTGTCTGATTTTAAAACTCTTCTGGATTCAGCCAGCAGGTTACACTAGTGAGAGTCTGCTGTGTTCACATCTCATTATTTTCTGCTGGGGTTTCACTGAGCAATGGTGAACTTGGTTCCGTACCTAAATCATCTTTTTCCCTAGTTAACTCTTACTCATCTTTAAGACTTTCGGTTCAGAGAGCTCCTCCAAGAACCTGTTCCTCTCATTATCCTTAGATGTGTTCAGCTAAATATCTGGAAGTGGGATTGCTGGGTCATATGGTAGTTCTATTTTTCAAATTTTGAGGAACCTCCATACTGTTTTCCACAGTGGGTGCGTGAATTTACAATCCCACCAACAGTGCATGAGGGTTCCCTTTTCTCCAGCATCTCGATAACATCCTCGCCAGGATTTGTTTGTTGACTTATTGATGGCAGCCAAGTATGAGGTGTTACCTCATTGTGGTTTTAATTTGCATTTCCCCGATGCCTTTGTGTACTGTAACTTCTGTAATATTTGGGATCTGTCTTTACATCCAGTGCAGCACATTATAATTTTCCTGGTTTTATATCCTCCACGGAATTTGGGACCTGTGTCTTAGCCACATATATAATGCATACTTGAATAAGTGAATATGTAACTTTTTTTTTTAATTCTAGATGTCTTATAATAATTATTTCTTAATTCTTTTTTTTTTAAATTTTTAAAGATTTTATTTATTTATTTTTAGAGAGGGAAGGGAGGGAGATAGAGAGGGAGAGAAACATCAATGTGCGGTTGCTGGGAGTTAGGGCCTGCAACCCAGGCATGTACCCTGGCTGGGAATCGAACCTGCGACACTTTGGTTCGCAGCCCGCGCTCAATCCACTGAGCTACACCAGCCAGGGCCAATATGTAACTTTTTCAAGAGATCATATGGCAAAGATCTTCGACCTCTCAGGAGTTAAAATTTTTTACTTGTACAACATTTTATCCCAAGGGTGCTTAAAATGAACTCTGCTCACAGGCCAGCTCCTTAATAGAAGGTAGAGGAGTTGATAATAATCGCTCATTGTGTGTATTGGGCTAAAAAGACAGTGTTGTGTTCTTTTTCCCTCTAGTTACCTGGCATTGGAACCAATAGAGCAGACATGTGAGCAGATGTGTTTGACTTAAAGAAAGTATAGTTCTTGAAATGCACAGTGACAGAAATTTTGAGTGTAGAACACAATGCCCATAGGGTGGGCATTGTGTCTTAGAAGAAAGAAGAACACAAGAAATGTTACATAACAATGTCAGGCAGTACTCAGGTGTGTGGGAATTGCAATATAAAACTCAAATCGGGCACATAGATGCTCAATAGTAAGTGATGATCAGTTTGAGGAGAGAGTCTTAGTAAGAATATTTGGAGGAATAATTTAAGCTTAGCCTTGAAGGGTGCATATAATTTAGAAAAGGATATTTCATTTATGAAGAAGAGGGAGCAAAACCATGCTTTTGGATTAATAGGGTTTTAAAGATAACTTTTTGGGCCCTGGCTGGTTGTAGCTCAGTGGCTTGAGTGTGCGCTGTGAACCAAAGGGTGGCTTGTTCAATTCCCAGTCAGGGCACATGCCTTGGTTGCAGGCCAGGTCCCCAGTTGGGGGCACACAAGGGGTAACCACACATTGATGTTTGTCTCTTTCTCTTTCTCCCTCCCTTCCTCTCTCTCTAAAAATAAATAAGTAAAATATTTTAAAAAATTTAAAGATGCCCTGGCTGGCATAGCTCAGTGGATTGAGCGCGGGCTGCGAACCAAAGTGTCGCAGGTTCGATTCCCAGTCAGGGTACATACCTGGGTTGCAGGCCATGACCCCCAGCAACTGCACATTGATGTTTCTCTCTCTCTCCCTTCCTTCCCTCTCTAAGAATAAATAAATAAAATCTTAAAAAAAAAAAAAAGGAAAAAAATTTAAAGATAACTTTTTGGCTGGAGTGAGAAGTTCCATAGTGCAGTCTTCCCCCACTCCTGCAAATTAATGCTGCAACTTTTTTCTTTCTAACTTAATATGTCATGAATATTTTCTCGTTATTATAGTTCAGTGACATGACTCCTAATGGTTATACCGTTTTGCATCTTGAAAATTCTTCACTGCTTAAAAAATATTGGACTATGGTGACTTTGAATATAATTATCTTATGCTTTTTCTTGTTCTAGATCAACAATAAGGCTGCCACTGGAGAGGAGGTTCCCCGCACCATTATTGTAACCACACGTTCTCAGTACGGGTTACCAGAAGATGCCATCGTGTATTGTAACTTTAATCAGTTGTATAAAATTGACCCTTCTACTTTGCAGATGTGGGCAAATGTGAGTATGTGTAGATTCGACATTAATATCGAGAGACTGGTAAAGATTCTGTAGACGGGTCATCTTGCCGAGGCTGCCTCCACACGCACTCATGAGCTGCTGTGCTCATTTCTTCTTTTCAAAAACAATCGTATTTTCCAAGTCGAGTTGACGTGCAATCCTATTTCAGACGTACAACACAGTGATTATACATTTATATACCTTACAAAGTGATCACCCCTGATAAATCTAGTACTCACCTGACACCATACATAGTTATTACAATATTGACCGCGTTCCCTGTGCTGTGCTTTACACCCCCATGGCTATGTTTGTAAATGGCAATTTGTACTACTTAATTCCTTTCACAACTTCTTCACGCATTCCCCCAACCCCCCTCCCATCTGGTGACCATCAGTTTGTTGTCTGTATCTATGGGTTAGTTTGTTTTGTTGGCTTATTTGTTTTGTTTGTTCTTTAGATTCTGCATATAAGTGATACCATATGATATTTGTCTTTCTCTGACTTATTTCACCTAGCATAATACCCTCAAGGTCTAGCCATGTTGTCACAAATGATAAGATTTACAGGATTTCATTCCTTTTTATGGCCTAGTAATATTCCACTTTATATATGCAGTGCACCTTGATCAGTCATCTACCAGTGGACACTTAGGTTGCATCCATATGTTGGCCATTGTAAATAGTGCTGCACTGGGCATCCGAGTACATATATATATTTTCAAGTTAGCGTTTTAGGTTTCTTCGGATAATTACTCAGAAGTGGAGTTGCCGGGTCACACGGTAGCATGATTCCTCCAAGTTTGTTTTTCTTTGTCGAGATTGCCGTGACTATTTGGGGTCTTTAGTGGTTCCATATAAATTTTTGGAATATTTGTTCTGGTTCGGTGAACTATGCCATTGATCTCTTAATAGGAATTGCATTGAATCTGTAGATTGCTTTGGGTAATACGGACATTTTAACGATGTTAATTCTTTCTACCCACTGAACATGGTATATATTTCCACTTATTTGTATCTTATTCAATTTTCTTCCTTCAATGTCTTATAATTTTCTGAGCACAGGTCTTTTACATCCTTGGTTAAGTTTATTCCCAGATAGTTTATTATTTTTTGATGCAGTTGTCAGCAGTATTGTTTTCTTAGTTTTTCTTTCTGATAGTTCATTATTGGTGTATAAAAGTGCAGCTGATTTCTAGATATTGTATACTGCTAATTTACTGAATTCATTTATCAGTTCTAGTATTTTTTTTAAATCTCTTTAGGATTCTCTATATACAGTGTGAAGTCATCTGCAAGTAATGACAGTTTTACTTCTTCCTTTACAATTTGGATGCCTTTTATTTCCACTTGTCTGATTGCTGTGGCTAGGATTTCCAGTACTGTGTTGAATAAGAGTGGTGGAAGTAGTAGATATCCTTGTCTTGTTCCAGATCTTAAAGGAAACACTTGTAGTTTTTCCCCGTTTAGCCTGGTCTTAGCTGTGGGTTTGTCATATATGGCCTTTATTATGTTGAGATATGTTCCCTCTGTTTCCACTTGGCTGAGAATTTTCATCAGAAATTTTTCACCAGAAATGGGTGCTGAATTTTATCACATGCTTTTTCTGCATCCAGTGATATGACCATGTGCTTGGTTTTTGTATTCACTTTGTTTATGTGGGTGTGTCACATTCGTTAATTTGCAGATGTTGTACTGACCTTGTATCCCCGGAATGAATCCCACTTAATCATGGTGTATCATCTTTTTAATGCACTGCTGGATTCGGTTTGCTAATATTTTGTTGAAGATTTTAGCATCTGTGTTCATCAGGGATGTTGGCCTATAATTTTTTTTCTTTGTAGTGCCTTTATCTGATTTTGGAATTAGGATAATGCTGGCCTTGTAACATGAGTCTTCCCTCCTCTTGAAAGTTTTGGAATAGTCTGAGAAAGATAGGTGTCAGTTCTTTTTTGTATGTTTGATAAAATTTACCTGTGGAACCATTTGCCCAGACTTTGGTTGCTGGGAATGTTTTGATTACTGGTTTGATTTCGTTAGCTGTAATCGGTCTATTCAGATTTTCTGACATTGGTTCAGTTTTTGAAGATTGTCTGTTTCTTCCAGGAATTTATTCATTGTCTCCAGATTGTCCCAATTCGTTGGCATGTATTTGTTGGCAAGGTTTACTAACAGTCCTTTGTATTTCTGTGGTGTCATTTGTTACTTCTCTTCTTTCATTTCTGATTATAGTTATTTGGGTCTCTTTTTTCCTTGATGCGTCTGGTTAAAGGTTTGTCAAACTTGTTTATCTCTTCGAAGCACCAGATGTTTTATTCATCGATTTTTGTATTGTTTGTTAAATCCTGTTTATATCCGCTCTGAGCTTTACTATATCCTTTCTTTTACTAACTTTGCATTTGGTTTATTGTTCTTTTTCAAGTTCCCCGAAGTCTTAAGTTAGACTGTTTATTTAAGGTTCTTCTTTTTTCTTGGTGTAGGCCTGTAATGCTATCCATTTCCCTCTCAGAACTGTTTTTTTGTGTCTCATAAATTTTCAGTTGTTTTGTTCTCATTTTCATTTGTTTCAAGGCATTTTTTTTTTAAATTTCTTCCTTGACCTCATTGTTAAGCCATTCATTATTTCGTGACATGTCATTTAGCCTCCATATCTTTGTGTGTTTTTCAGGGGGTTTTTTTGTTGTGATTGATTTCACAACAGTGGTAGTTTCATACCATTGTGGTCAGAGAAGATACTTGATAAGATTTCAGTCTTCTTAAATTTATTGAGACTTGTTTTGTGTCCTAATGTGTATATCTTAGAAACTGTTCCTTCTGCTCTTGAAAAGAGTGTATATTCTGCTCCTTGGGGGTAAAATGCTCTGAAAATATCAATTAAATCCATCTGGTCTACTGTGCCATTTAAGGCTGCTGTTTCTTTGTTATTTTTCTCTTGGGAACATCTATCCAGTGACATCAGTGGGGTGTTAAAATCCCTTACAGTGACTGGATTATGGTCAGTTTGTTGGCATATCTCCCATTATGTCCATCAATATTTGCTCCATATATTTAGGTGCTCCTGTGTTTGTTTTAAAGTCTTTTTTATCTTGTATAACTATTGCTACCCCATCTTTTTTTTTTTCATTTGCACGAAGTATCTTTTTTTATCCCTTTATTTTTTCTGAGGTGGATCTCCTGTAGATAACATATATGTGTCTTGTTTTCCTATCCATTCAGCAACCCTATGTCTTTAGGCTGGAGCATTTAAGCCACTTACATTTAAAGTGATTATTGAGCCCTTGCCGGCATGCCTCAGTTTGCTGGGGTCATCCTGCAAAGTTAAAGGGTCACTGGTTTGATTCCCATCGGGGCAAATGCCTGGGTTGTGGGCAGGCTGGTCCCCTGTCAGGGTGTGTGTGGGAGGTCGCTGATTGATACTTGCCTTGGGTGTTGATGGTTCTCTCTTTTCCCTCCCTTCCCCTCTGAAAAGAAAGTAAAGGAAGGAAATATTAGATTATTGATAGGTATATAGTTATTGCCATTTTATTCTTCATAACTATGTTCCTTCTTTTCTTCAAGAATATCCTTTAACATTTCTTGTAATAAGTGTTTGGTGGTAACGGACTCCTTTAGCTTTTTCTTATCTGGGAAGCTCTGTATTTGTTGCATTTGAAATGATTGCTTGCTCGGTAAAATGCTGTTGGTTGTAGGTCCTCGCTTTTCATCACTTTGACTATTTCATTCCTATCTCTTATGGCCTGACACGTTTCTTTGAGAAATCAGGTGCCATTCTTGTAGGAGCTCCCTTGTAGGTGGTAAACTGCTTTCTCCTTTCTGTTTTTAAGTTTTCTCTTTAAACTTTTGCATTTTAATTACGATGTGTCTTGGTGTGAGCCTTGTTAGGTTTATTTTGTTTGGGACTCTATGTGCTTCCTAGACTTGTGTATCTTTTTCCTGTATCAGGTTAGGGAAGTTCTGGATCCCTTGCTGTCTCTCTTCTCCTTCTGGTACCCCTCCCTATAATGCGGAAGTTGTTATGCTTCATGTTGTCCCAAAGTTCTCTTAAACTGTTCTCATTTCTTTTTAACTTCTTTTTCTTTCTTTTTTTTCCCCTGTTCTGATTAGGTGTTTCCACTACCTTGTCTTCCAAATTGCTGATTTGAGCCTTCCCTTCACCTAACCTACGGTTTATTCATTCTGGTATATTCTTCATTGCAGATGAGATCGGGCGCGTTCAGGGTGGTCTGGCTGTAGACATATTCTTCATTTCAGATAATGTATTCTTCATTTCTGACTGGTATTGCGGATGCTTTCTAGGTCCCTTTTCATGCTTTTGAAGTTCTCACTACATTCCTTGAGCATCCTTAAAATCAGGGTTTTGAACTCTGTATCTGGTAAATTCCTTGCCTTGATTTTATTTAGCTTTTTTTCCTGGAGATGTCTTTTGTTTTGCCATTTGGGGCATGTTTCTTTGTCTCCCCATTTTGGTTCCCTCTTTGTGTTTGTTTTGATGTATTAGGTGGATCTGTTTTGACTCCCAGTCTTTGTGGGGTGGCCTTATGTAGTAGGTGTCCCGTGGGACCCAGTGGTACAGTCTCTTTGATCACTTGATCTGGGTGCTCCAGGAATGTGTCTTTTGTGGGTTATGTGGTCTTTCCTGTTGCAATTGAGTCTTAACTGCTATTGGCCTGTTTGTGGGGAGGAAGGACCCTGAAGCTTGCCGACTGTGAGGATCAAGCCTGTCCACAGTGTATGAGGTGCTATTTAAGTGCTGACCACCACTAAGTGGATTTTGCCTCAGCGGGGTCTGTTGCCTGCTGAGATCTTTCTTTGGCCATGCTGCTTATGAAGCTAATTGGATCCTGCTATGATATTGTCTGAGTCTGGCCACTGGGTGTGTCTCTTTTGGGACCTTTCGGCAGGCCCTCTGGTGTGGGTTAGTTTCATTCGTTGCCTGTGACTGGCTGTGGGCAGCCTGTTTGGAGCTACAGAACGATCCATAGTTCGTGGCCACCCCTGCTG